TTTTATACAGACCGGACTATAATTGAGATTCTCGAAAATGTCAATATCATTCAGTGTGAAGACGTCACTTGTATCTTTTAGAGACATTACGAGTTATCCTATACACAGGCGCGCACGCACACACACACACTCATCTGTTTGAAGTTGAAATTTTCCATTTTGTTTTAGAAAGCTAATATAACATACCATAAATGTGAGGTAAAGAGTTATTTCAAAAAGAGCATAAAGAATTCTAATTTAAATTTCGACTTAACTATACTCATATGGTTTCTTAAGTTGTTATTGTGAGCTTCACTATAATGCTGTTATTATTCCTTTGGGTCCCGAATGGAACATAAGGCTTCAAAACAACACATCTTCACTTTTTTCTATTCTCTACTCTCCTTTTCAGCTGGGTTGACGACAGCCCATAGTCTCTCATCTGCTCCTCGCATGATCTACTCCATGTCACCCTCACAGTACCAACCCACTGATCATTTCCCGTTCGGGTTCTAATCGAGTAAAGGCCTGATGCGATATGTCATTCGATGTCCTCCTGAGTGTATCTCTGACCCATTTCCATTTTCTTCTACCTTTTTGTTGAGCAATAGGTTATTCGTTGGTTTGTTCCCAGCCAGAGTTTCTTGTTGCTTATTGTTTCTGTCCATTTGATTTTCAATAAAAGTCTTCAATCTGTTGGAAATCCTTTTCGTGACACTCAGTGCAAGTTTCTGATCCGTATAGAAGAATTGACTGAATTCTCATTTGTATTTAAAATCGGAATCTTGTTCTTTATGCTGAGTGCAATGCAGAAGATTTCCAAACTTGTTTCAGGTTGATGAAGGCGTATCTTGTCTTTCCGATCCTAACTGACCCTGACATCTTCATCCGTTCTGCCTGCAATTAAAACAATGCCTCCTTAATAAGTGAAGAAACTGACCTCTGTTAAATCTTTCCCTCTGATGGTGACTGATGCTGGTTGTTGTTTCTGGTGCTGTTGCTGTTGGTTGTTTATCATCAACACCTGCAGTCCTGTTTTCGCTGCCTCTTCTGCCGGTTCGTTGGTTTTCGCTCGAAAGTCCTCGAGTTAGTGTGATATCAAGCATAAATCATCCACGCGCCCAAATCTAGATCTTGTAAAGTCTTCTTGTCAGTCCAACGTATTCCTGGCTTCTCACTCCTCACCCAACCTCAGTCTGACGAATGATCAAGTCCACTATAATTAGAAATATTATCGTTGGTCATAATAGGCAGTCCTGTTTTACTCCCATACTTACCTCGAAATCCCCCTGAGTTTTCATATTGTGAATCACCTAACATATGGCACTGTCACATAGCTGTTGAATGAAGTTGCTACGGATTTAGAGGACGCTGTTGTGTTGAAGCAATTTACAAACTACTTCTCGGTTGACGCTGTTGAAGGCCTTCTCGAAGGTGATGAAGTTAAGGTATAATGCATAAATTCTAATAATCTAACTCGAATGAATAAGAATCGAGAAATTCCTTTGACACTGTTTATAAAGCTAGTTATTTTGATTATAATTTTCTCTTGGACGTCTGTTCGAGTTCTGAGGCTAAATATTAAATTCTAGTGTGTGTAATAGAGGAAATTCTGTGTAAAATATGCTATTATTTTATTTATTTTATTCCCTTACGTTCCAAGTGGAACTTAAGGCTTTAAGCTACAGCTTAGAAGCTTCAGTACCAGTGGTGTTTATTTTCGAGGGTTGAGGTTGCTGGCCTCACTCCCAACTCTCCTTTTTTATTGGCCCTACTAATAGTTCAGCGAGGTTAAGGAGTGCATCGACCGAGGATCGAACCCCTGATCAGGTGAGGCGTGGTTGGCGAGTACTCTGCCTCTTAACCGCTGACACACTTATGAAGGAGCTCATATGCCTGTTGAGATTCGAAAACGTGTGCTCCAGTGCTGAAGTCATAGGCCTCACCACTGAGCTATTCGGGCTCATTTAAAATATGGCGACTAATCATTATACATATGGTATATTTGAGTTAAATTTCATTATACTTGTGCATCTACACCTTAGACTTTAGTAGTTTTAAGGAAGAAAATAAATTCTTCGAGTGACTTTATGACATATCCCCACTAACTGTAACGTCTTAGTCCTTTGCTACGGTGGTTTAGTGACAAGTTATACATTTTTTTCTATGCTGTTTAAATAAAATGTTGACTATAAAGTTTTTTCTGGCACATATATTATCACTGGCATTATATTCTTGAAACTGCGTTACATTTGCTTCACTTTTATCACAAAATGTTACTTGTACTGATATCTGCACAGCTGGCGAGTCCCAAATGGGACGAAATGCACATCCTGGATTCCACTGCTAGTCACCATCTGCACAGTGATTTTAAAATTTAAACATATATTATCCAATTTTCATGAAATCATGCTAGTGTATTTTGGCCCATATTTACTGAAACGCTCTAATATATACCGGATAAAGCAGGTGGTATGGCTTCAAAAAAAAAGGATATACCATATAATCACCCATCGATTCCCATAAAATATCAGCTGATACTTATTAAAATGCTTGATTATTTACTAGAGTTTTATGACTGCGTTAGTAGTTCACTGATAGAATGTTCACCAAGTATGTACTTGATCTGGGATTTGATTCCCGATCGACATGCTCATAAACCTCATCTAGTTTGCTAATCATCACTAGTTAGCTGGGATAATCGGGAAGGTTAGACTTGATACCAGTAATCCAACCCTGTTGAATTAACAACACCGTCACTGAAACTTGGAGCCTTATGTTTGTTTAGCTGGGAATGCAAGGAATGAAAGGAAAACAGTTTTATGAAGTATTACAAACTACAGATTCTATGCTTCCTAGTTAAAATAATCACTTGCAGCTAATATTCAAGCATTTTATTCAACCAGTTCCTTTGATTAGTTTAAACAAAAAGAGGACAAAATAATCTACTGGATAAAAATGAACTAAGGTTTTTTATTTTACGGCTTTTCATCATCTGTTAACAAACTAAAAATGACATAAGTTATAGGTACAAACATACACAGCGTACTTGCCCTATTCAGGTAGGTAGTTACCTGGGGTTCTGATGAGAATTTGTGACCAGAAGGGTGCAGCAGATCGAGGGTGAGGACAAATACTCGCTGAAGACATTGGCTAGGGGTCGCGCTATGTCGTGAATTGGTAGAAGTTAGAATTCATGGGACAATGGATCGGGTCCCAGTGGCTTAATGGTCTACGAGCTCGCCTTGTAACCAGAAGGTCCTGGGTTTGAATCCCGGTGGGTGCGTATTTCAAAAATTATTTAAACTCAAAAAGCACAGCACTGGAACCAAAGATATGAACACAAGATAGTCACTCTCGGAAACAGAGTTTATTTATTACATGAATGGATGAAACATTCAACAGAGGAGGAAAAAGAAATGATAATTAAAGGTAAAATTATTAAGTAAATAAACCATTAAATAAATTGGAAGATTAGTAATAAGTTCACCTCAATGATCTCTACTCAAAAGAGTTGTGACGTGACAAAACACAGAAACAGACGTCCAGATACCAGTATAGTGTGAGACTAATCACAGTATCTTGCTAATATACAGATATTAGGCTGGAATACTTCGATAGGAATGGCTTCTGAGAAGCAATGTAGCCAAGGTTTTCTCTGTATATCGATTATTTTAAAAGCTTAACTGATTTTGACTGAAAGCCTTGTGTCAGCCAAGCGGCTAGCAATCGCACAAGCAACCTCTTATGATAATTTCCATATGAAGATTATTGGGGATATGCTCAGAAAATCTAGGTGTTCTTCTCTCAGTCCTTCCTGTATACTAACTACCGCAAATACATGTAAATTGGCAACTACAGTTGGAGGTAACATAATGATGGGTACTAATCTACTGTGGACTGTATTAGCAAGCAGTTTATGTTATAAACAGAAATCAGTCTAGTAGCGCTAAATGTCTTTTTCAAAACACCTTGAATTCTTTTCTTTAATTCTTGTTCACATTTTTTCTTCGCATTTGTACCCCAGGCAAATAAAAACTGGTTTCTTCTCAAAAGCTAAGGGCTTCAGTTTGAACCTTTTTTCCTCTTCTTGGGATATCCATTCTCCATTAGGTTCTTTTCAGTATTCAAGAGCACTTCATCAATCTTATTTCCTGAACACAATTCTGCCGGTACACTAAACAGCATTCTGACCAAACTTCGTTGGTAACCAAGAGGACAAACAAATCTGTAGGATAATAAGTCATCTTATACTGAAGATTAAACGAAATGATTAAAAGCAGTGAAAAAAGACATGAGGAAATGTTTGATTATTGGAAATCTATTCACAAACTCGTAAACACTATCATGTAAGACATTTAAAAGACCAGACATAATAGGTGAATTATAATAATGCCCAGTCCAAGTGGTTAACAGTCAACTGCTTCAAGCACAATGAGCTTCTATGATGGCCATTCAACGTAATTTAATTTATATTCTGCATATTGATTTTCACAATACCATTCGCTAATATAATGAATGTTATTATGTATACCTAACTATAAAATCATCACTTAAATTACATACAGGTTTGTCTGCTTTTTTGTTTTCTTCTTAACAATAGTCAAAAGCCAATCTGAAACTAAACACAACACCACAAGCAAATTGCTCTTCAAAGCAGATTTTGTCTGTTATATGATCTATTTTTCAAGCTAAAGGTGGGTCAAGGTCGCAGAGTAAAGTGTGCTCTGTCAGATGTAGTTAGACAGACATATAAGGAGATGAACGAATACAAATTATCAGTTGTCCTAGTTTTTGGCATAGTTGGGCAATAGCATTTTTTGAAAACCAATCATAGGTACTATGACCTCATCGTTGCCAGTGCCGTGTAGGTAGGATTCGACCTAGTTATGCATAATTTTTCATTTTCTCGTCATGCACTTCACCATCCAATCAGAATTCAGAGTAATCAACCAATCAGATATTAGGTCGCCCTATAGCTTAAAGATAGACGTCATTACAAGGACATTTGAAGATAGATCTCACCCCCATAATGGCTTGAATCCCACTGAAGCAAAATTGGCCTCAACAAATACACACACACACACACGTATACGAAAAAAGGCTTGTTTATATTTTGATCTCATTTACAGCACGATTAAACGTCTGTCCGCCTGACAATTGGACACTAGCCTTTCTTGGAATGGCACAATTTCTGACCATGCTTGCAGCTGATATGACATAGTTACCTAACTCATTCTTATGTAAAATCTTTCGATAAACAACACTTTTTAAATCCTTGATTTCGAATTGATAAAATCAAAAATCAAATCATTATAATGGATAAATAATTTACAATGATATTCGTGTAAATTATTAAAATTAGAAATCTTCTGAAAGCATGTTTCTTTTACGGTGAGTTTTTTTGTTTGTTTGCGAACTATGTATGAACAATTTATAATAGAATTTTCTTTTTTCTCTATGATAATTTCACAAGTTTACGTGCTCTTCATGTGATGTGTAACTCCTTACTAGTCATAGGATTACTCAAATTTATCCAGTCGGTTTTTCCTGCAATAGCATGTACAGGCTAAATATACACTATGGGTTCGAATCAGCAGGTTTATTTTGAAGGGATGGTCAGTGCGATGGTATATTCACTTTATTTCATTTACCAGACTAACGGTTGTCTTTTTTTACTATTTATAATGAAATGTAAATAAGTAGTCTGTTGTGTGCATATACAATACTATGTAAGGAACTAAGAGGGGTTATGCTATTAATTATTTACGCTCGGTGGATTAAATGGAGAAAACAACCATACATCGCTATCCGTGTGTTCTCTTCATTAAAATGAGCTGCATAATGATGAAAATCCACTGATGGTCTTAATGAACAAAAATGCGCGAGATTTCCAAAGGTTTTGAGGAATATAGTATACATTTAAGTTTCATTATCTTCTTTATTAACAGAAATGTAGGTTTTTTCTTAAAAATCTGGATGACTGTATATCTTGACTACATAAGTATTTTTAGCGCCTAATGTCAGCATAAAATTGGCTGTGAAATTTTATTTGAAACAGCTGCAATAAATTTATTTCATGGTGCAACTATCCAATAAAATAACCGTAGGATGGTAGTCTAAATATCAATGAAATAGGTACCAGTTGGAGGTGAAGGGAATACCTGGTTCACGTCAGGACTCCAACCAATAGCTTAGGAATTACACGATGGACTACGAGACCCAACTTCTAACCAACTTCTACAGCAGTGCAAGCTGCTACACTCCACGAAGCACACAGAGGCAGGAAAAAGAAAAAAGCGATTTAAAACAACAATAATAAGCAGAATATTGAGGGAGAAAGAATAGTAACATGGAGAAATATTAGAGACTAATGGGTGTGGGAAATCGGAAAGAGTGAATGAATCTACAACACTCAGAACGATTTTGAGCCATATCACCAATTGTCTCCAGTCATTGGTTCTTATAACCCTAGGAATCCCAACCAGGCATCCTACACCGAACAACGTGGTTCAAACTAACTGTCAAAGACTTTATGAACTGATGCCATCACTAGCTCTTTTCCAATGTGATTCATCCTATGTCAGATAATGGTGAAGCATGCGTAACACATGTGACACGTTGACTTACCAGTAGCGTCATCACCAAGTCACCTACATATCTAGTCATATTTCTTCTCTGACATCTGTTGGAATATACTCAAGAATTGCATTTACCATTAGCTAGTATCAACGGATACTTTGGAAAATAAAATACTTTGAGCATTCATCTAGGTTTTCACTCAATATTTTCAGGACTCAGAACACATTAGTCACAGAAAGATTCTGTCTTTGAAAAATGATTCAATTTTTTTCTAAATTCCCATCTACAATAATGATAACTATTATTTTCTTGGGTTCCGAGTGAAACATAAGGCTTCAACAGCACATTTCCATTTTTTCCTGTTCTCTGCTGTCTTCTTCAACTGGCCCCACAATTGTCCATAAGCTTTCTTCTCCTCACATGATTTCCTCTACGTCACCCTCAGATTCACGCCCAACTCGTCATTTTCCATTCGGGTTCCATTTTTAGGGCCTGGCTGTCGATGTCATTTGACGGTCTCTTCAGTGTGTGTCTTACCCATCTCCATCTCCTCTCTGCAGCATAAATACCAAAGACTGAGGCGACTAAATCTACATTCAGAAAGGTTGGATAGTGTGTTCAATTGTTTCTTGATGAAGTAATTTCTGTATTATTTAAAAGGATTAATTTGGTTAAAATTAGGTTATAAATATTTCATACTAATCAACACATTAAAACTGATATAAATATTGCAGGCATTATAAATATTCAGTTGATAATTTTTCTTCAGCCAAACTGTAGGGAAGATTACTGTTTTATTCATTGATCTGGTGTTTGGTTGCTCTCTCACAATTAGTTCTGTAAGAGGTCGCTTAGGAACACAGTACAATTTTTGGATAAATATAACCAAACAGTTAGTTCAATTTACTCCTATCTATAAATACAATGTGTGATAATAAACCCAATATTTAATGTTTCCACAATGGCTAACTTATATCTCTTGAGTGCACATCTAATTTTATATAGAAACGTATCACTTTAATTCTCCATACTTTGAACAGTGGTGTTATTTTTTTACGTAGTGAGGTAGCTAGCCTGACGCCCAAACTTCTTTCACCGAACTTACAGGCGGTTAAGGGAGACTTAGGAGTGCGTCAGCTGGAATTTAAACTCCGGATCAAGTTCATGGCTGGCGAACACTCAACAGTGGAACTTACGGCTGTGTACTGAATGTGGAAAAAAAAGGAAAAGTTTATTTGCACAACTGTGAGCCAATCAAGATCCCATTACTAAGAGTCATAATATTTAGGGCACTCCAGCCAGGTAGTCTATACCTACCTATGCGACTTGAGTCCACATTTTATAACTTCATGGAGTGATGTTAGACTTCGTCGGTGTCTAGTAGTATTTTCCGCACAAGTGTGAATGCACTGACTGACTCATATTCACATGTCCACTTTAATTCTTTCCTTAAATTCTGCTTTTTTTTAGATTGTCTACAGACTTTCCAGTACATGTTGAAAACACCGTGCTCTTATGCATTCTGAATGGCATAAAAAATAATCTAGTTTTATTTTGATTTTTGATTTACAGCTTGATTCCACACTGTATTTTTGGTACAAGTATGGAATTTTCAGAATGTGATATCGGTAGCCTAAATTTTGCAGACTGACCATAGATATCAGGTGTGCGTCGGCAGGGGATCGGACCTCAGACCATGTGCATGGTCGGCGAGAGTCCTAACCATTGTGCCACCGACACACATGGTCTAAGTAATCCGGTATTAATTTGCCTGTTGCTTATATTACCCTTTAAAACAGTATTATGCATTGGATGACGTTTCCAACACAATTTATTGTTCACAATAATAGTAGTAGTATCAGTTGTGACTACACAACTTTGAAACTCGGTTTTTATCGTCTTCGTTCTTATTTTTGTTTCTAATTGTTATTATGGGAATAGAATTTTCTAGATGCCTAGGACAGGTATTGACTCATTCCTATTGCACTTTATATCTTAATATACTTATCTCATAATTGTGTTTTTTACAGTACAATTGAACTAAAAACATACTATTTAGTTACAAGTACAGACTAGTATGACATTACACTTTAGGAGAAAATTGTCAATAAGTGCTGAAACTAAGTCTTCTTTTTCTATCCGCAAATTTGGGGAACTCATTTTCCTTCTGTGATTCATAAGGTTTCAGATGTTTCTTGCTGACTTGTATGATACAACACGATACCTGGGTTCCGGGCTTCTTGAAAATTGTCTCCTAACATCTGATGTCAAATTATAGTAGGTACAATTTTTTGGCATGTTGCTAGCCATTCTGTACACCAGGCCAATCTTTATATTCTTATCAGCATTATTATGGACTGTAATGATAGCCGTCCAGTTTAACAATCATCTTTGTGTAAATCCTGAAAACAGATATTTCTGGATATCAGTATATTTAAGGAGGTATTGGGGAATAACTCATTATTGATCAGTTTTTAGTTAAGTTAACATTTTAGGTATTTCATTGAAGAACACGACATAAAATGGACTGTAAAGAGTGATATTCTGATTCAATTGAGTAGCTTTCGTTGCCCTTCTAGACAACACCTTCAGTTCAGGTTTTATTGTGAAATGAACTTATTTTAAATTCTCAATAAATAACATAACTGTATCTCCTGACAACCATTATCGTGATTTGTTGTTACTTTATGTCTTCATCGTTGGATAAGTAACTGGAAATCTTAAAGTTGTTGAACGTGTTGTATATTTTAATCAATATGTGAGATCTGATTAGGTCTATGCCTGTTGATTAAAAGATATTTTTAATAGTACTCAGTGATTAAATGTTGATCACTGAAGGAATAACTTTTCCAAATGAAGGCTAGAGAGATAGGATAGCCTTTCACTAATTTTCTTCCATTCACTACTTATAATTATTCAAGCTATTTTGTAAAAACTGGATATTCCGTGTTGGAATAGTCGAAAGCCAACTTATCCTGTAGTTTCTTATATTCAGCGTTTATTTGGAAATTATTTGTTTCATAAACAGACTCATTGGTTTGGCTAACTGTTTTTTTTCCATAAAACTATGCGTTGATTTGACCTCAAGGTAATTCAGATTATTGATAAAGTTATGCAAAAGCACATTATTGTTGCTTATCTTATATGAACAGGTCACTAATAGCGCCTCAGTGATGTTGTAGGGATTTGTTCGCTAAATCTCAAACCAGATCGTTTTGACTCTAGTTGAACTTTTGTAATTATATTTAAAAAAAAGGTCAATATGATGTAATGTAAATTACAAGTTAAGTGTACACGTCAGTGAACATAGGCAACTCATACAGTAAAAACAGACTTCTTTAAGGAGATGTACAATCAGAATTTGTGTAATGTGATAGTGTGTAATTCTATAATAGAATAATTTTATGTGATATAGTATACAGTGGTATACTATTATTTATTTATTAATAAGGTTTCAATGGCAATTTATCACTCAAAGTCTAATCAAAGTACTCAAATAATATATATATATATATATATATATATATGATTTTATTCCTAATAATATTTTTCATATTTCCAGCACTAGTGTTGTTACCATTACCATTATACGTATTAGGTGTGGATTCGACCCGGCCGACAACTGCTACCTTGCCGTGGTGGTCGGGCTTGAATACCGCAGTGACCCAACAAGCTAAACTGGCTGGGACTCATGTCTCTGCAGGTCCTACCATGTCAGGAAGGTTGTGTGGAAAGTGGTTAGACTAAAAGCAGTTACCATGGGGTACATGGGCTCCAGAATCCAATCGGATCAAATGGCGCATGATCCCATATAGGTCACTGGCAACCATGGGAATGCAGCTCCTAACGCTGCCTTGCGAATTAGGCTCCAAGTCAAAGGCTCGGGGTTGGTCCCTCAAGAAAACCACCTGCTTCGGCCTGGGCGCGCGGGCATTATTTCAGCCCTCACACAACTTTTGTGGTGCATCTTTCTTGGTGCCATATTGTACCAAGTGTTTTCTGCGTTTAAATAATAAAATAAAATAAGGTGTGGATTCGAATCTATGTCCAGTTCTTTAGTTACAGTTAATCAGTTAGTTTGACTTTGTAGGCGCTTATTTGAAAATGACATAGGGTAGGTGTTTATGACTGCCTAAATAACATAAGTTATGAAATTTCTCTGAGAGATAAACAGAATCATTTTCCTCATTTCACAAGGTGTTTTCTCTCCCAGTTAACTGTCCTCCAAAACCAACAGAGTATAAAAGTGGAGTCAGAGACATTCCTTCCCTTTTCTCTATATTACTGCAAAAAAAGAAAGTAGAACCTTTTTGTTATATACTTCGCCTTGATTCGTCATGATATCTAACTTTCTTCTGTCTTGTAAACGTCCTTATCACGTCAGATTTATCTCTTCAGTATATTCTGCATTTGCTAGTTGTACAGATTTCTTTTGATTATCTCGGGGATTAAATACCATTGTTCAGTAAATCTTACTGGGAAATCGAGATTAACCACTAATTAAAGATTCATCTAAGAACGGTGTAGTTAAAAAACCCAGTGAAGTAAATTGGCTTGGTTAAGGGAAGTGAGTGACAAAATAATCTAAACGTTAGGTAATTCACTCTTATAAGTTTTTAGTGTGAAGAAATACTTTTTTTTGATTTTTTTTGATTTACAGCTTGATTGCACACTGTATTTTTGGTACAAGTATGGAATTTTCAGCATGGATATCGGCAGCCCAAATTCTGCAGGCCGACTATAGATATCAGGTATGCGCCGGCGTGGGCTCGAACCTCAGACCATGTGCATGGTCGGCGAGAGTCCTAACCACTGTGCCACCGACGCACTATACTGACCTTTTTGTTGACGTCCCTAATATTTCTAAAACGAATGAATTTAGATTCAGGATTATTTAAGTGATTTGGTAGAGGATGACTAGCAGTGGAATTCAGGATGCTCTTTTGATCCATTTTTGGGATTCAATGAGAATACCAAAATTCACTGAAGAGTTAAGGTACAACCAGATAATGGGTCTAAAATAGGATAAAATTTACATTATGGATTCTACCGCTAGACATTATCCACCAAATAATATCGTGTTAATCCCCCCCCCTCCAAGACATCGTAGAAGCGTTCTTACTTGAAGCCGATATTGTTAACAGTGGCCTGTCATTTTGGTCACATCATTCAACAGGAAATTCAGAAGTGAATTAAAATCAGGGTAATATAGTTCAAAATATATGGCACTAACACGCATACACTCATTTTCATATTATTTGTAATAACACATTTCAGGATTACTTTATCTTTTGCTTTGATACGAATTTCTATATGAATTTCATTTCTTTATATTCGTTGTACAATAATAAGGGATGGCATCTTAGATATTGAATAAGTTGATTTACAGTGTAGCTTATTGGTTTGATTATTCGACTGTTATTGATTATTTGGTCGGTTTAAACCGTACGTCATCGACAAAAAGGTGGGCATTTTGTTATCATCACGGAGTATAGTTTTATGGGTAGGCGTTTTAGAAAAGTATATTCAGAAAGACCCTGCAGATTTTTATTCTTACTGAATGCACTACACTGAAGAGCAGTTTAGCTGATCACAGGTCCACAACTCCAGTGTTTAGTATTCTTAATCATAATGATCTATGGCCGGTTAACGTCGATCGGACTAACAAAGGGGAAAAACAGCTGTTTCGAAAGATGGTGTAAATATGGCGTGGGTGTATTTTAATGCGACTCTCTTTTCCTCTCCTAATAATCACAAAATTTTTATATGACACTTCACGTCTTCCTGGGTTAATATTTAAGATAAGATAAGATAAGCTTTATTCCAAATCAGTACTTGTGATGCAGAATGGAATTCTCAGCATTTTACTACAATATTGCATCCAGTTAGTACATTAACAATATATAATTCTACATAGATTAAGGTTATCTCAGTCAGTTTTGACAACAACATATTAGCATGTCAGTAGCAAAGCCAAAATTTTAAACAGAGTGTTTGAAGGTGTTAGAAAAGTAGATACTAATTGATAGTGTGTGGCTAAAAATTGAAATCAACGTTTTAAGTCAGCGGCTACAGGGCTAGAAGTGTTTTTTCCTGAAAATCTGGATTTAGTTTACATTAAGATCTAGAAATAATCTCATTGAACAACTTCTCGTCCCTTTGTTTAACCTTCGATCAGTCGCCAACCAATTAGAACAGTTTATTGTTCCTTGACCTACTAACTGACTTTAAATGGCGGTAAAAATGCATAAATATGATTCACTTTTCTCTAATAAAGAATCCTGTTATTACTTCTCTTATGTTCTACATTTACAGTAGGACAGTAGTCGGCTAACTGACAAGATATAAGAGATCAAGTGCCCCATCAACATGGAATAATGTCCATTCTCATGCCTATCCTAAAGAAGGCCTGTAAAATCTGTTGAAAATTGATTTGTCACAAACAGAATGGTTTTCATACAGATGGTGGGTGCGTTAACTATTTATTCACAATTCATCAGCTTTAAGGTTACCGTCGTATGTATTGCAGAATAACAGTTATTGTATTTTCTGTTATCAAAGTATCCTAAGATGAAAGATAACTATCTATCTCCGGTTAGCAACTATCCACAAATTATGATTCCCACGGTGAGGTTCATGAGATTGTTCGACTCAGTAACCAATGTCGTTATCAGATATGGCTTAGAATATAAATTATTAGTGAAAATGTATTTACTTTCCTTCTCTTTTACAGAGTAATCTGTAGTTATTCGTAGCCCTTTAAATACTACTGATTAAAGTCCCGACCGAAAGCTGCTACCTTGACGTGGTGGTCGGGCTTGAACACCGCAATGACCTAATCAAGCTATACTGGCTGAGACTTATGTCTCTTGAGGTTCTACCATGCCAGGCAGGTTGTTTGGATAGCGGTTAAACAAAAAGCAGCTACCCAATCCAACATCATGTCCAATACAAAATTACAAAATTTCATGCCGGATCGGCCGTGGCCCGGATTAACAACGACCGCGCTTCCTGCTGCCGTGTCACAGGGCGGGAGTGATAAATCAGCTACTGAGGCACACAAAACAAGAAGAACGAACAAAAGCAGGCCGCGTGTGACCGGCCTCAAGCAGTTGTCCCCTGGGCTCTGCGGTCACGCAACCAACTTCCACGGTGTGGGCAGCCGGGAAGTAACAATCGCCCTCACAATCCAAAACGCACACAAAACCTCTCTAATCCTCACTTATCTTTGTCTTCATCTTCATCTCTATCATCTTGCCTTCCTTCCACTGATGCAACTCCTCGACTTGATAGCTCTCCACTTTCTCTCCACTCTGCGTCCACTAAAAACGATGGAAGCCAAAAAACCACCATCGACAGCCTCTTAAAGCCGCGCCACCAATTTCATATAGGAGCATTTAATGTTAGGACACTTTGCCAAATAGGACAACAAGCATCACTAGCCAAGACCCTGGCATCACGAGCCATTGATGTGTGCTGTGTTTCAGAAACACGCATACAAGACCCAAGTGTGGTTATTCACCTAACCCCACCTGGCCAACAGGTTGAATCTGCAAAATTCACCTTGAGGGTGTCAGGAGATGCCACAGCTAGTTCACGAGGATTAGCTGGCGTAGGGATAGCTTTGAGTACTAGGGCAGAAAAGACATTGCTTGACTGGATCCCAGTAGATAGCCGAATGTGTGCTGTCCGCCTGAACGGATCAGTAAGAAGGAGGAAGGACTGCACTACTCGCCGATGCCTTTTCGTAATCTCCGCCTACGCCCCCACTGACTGCAGTTCAGATGAAACGAAGGATGAGTTCTACGAAAAGTTGTCTAGTTTGGTGAGAAAGGCTAAACGCTCAGACATAGTCGTTCTAGCTGGTGACTTTAACGCTCAAGTAGGGAAATTGTGTCAATCTGAGAAGGATGTCGGTGGCACCTATGGAGCTCCGTGCCAGCGAACCGACAACGGTGACCGTCTACTACAGTTCTGTTCTGATAATCATTTGTTTCTTGCAAGCACTAACTTCAAACACAAGGAGAGACACTGTTTGACTTGGAGACCCCCTTCGTCAAACCAACGCTGGACACAAATAGACCACATAGCAATAAGCTATCGTTGGCGTGGGTCGGTAGGAGATTGTCGCTCCTTCTGGAACACGTGCGTAGATACCGACCATGCACTGGTCCGGGCTCGGGTGTGCTTACGACTGAACGGACGTAGGAAACAGCTGGCGGTAAAACCATCACGTCCCCAGCTCGATCAGGAAACTAAATCCGTATTTCAGGAAGAACTAGCTAAACACATATCTGTGTTCGACAGCTGTGCTCACCCTGAAGAAGCTTGGAAAAATATCCAGGCAGCCATAGATACAGCTGTAAAAGCTGTGAATAAGGTAAATCCAAAGGTGAGTAAAAACCACTGGATCTCCACCGCCTCATCCGAACTGATAGATGCTAGAAGACTTATTCCGGCGAGCTCCGAATTCAATGAGGAGCGAAAGCTGCACAAGAGGAAACTTACGAAAAGTCTCCGCAAGGACCGTGAACAGTGGTGGGCGACAAAAGCCAAAGAGATGGAGAAAGCTTTGAGGATAGGCAACACCAGGCAACTCTTTGGACTCATCAGGGAAACGGGTGGGAGAAGACAAATCATTAGTGAGACAATCTCGGAAAAAAATGGCACTATAATTAGCTCCCAGGATAGACGACTGGATCGTTGGAAAGAGCATTATGAGGAGCAGTTTAATTTGCCTACAGCCACGCTCAACCTTCCGAGCATCCAACACCTCCCTGAATGGGATATAGATACAGGTCCTCCGTCACTAACTGAGGTTACTAAAGCTGTCACCAATCTGAAACTAGGCAAAGCAGCGGGACCTGATGGAATGACGCCAGAGGTATTTAAGTACGGTGGAGACAGCTTACTGTCCGGATTAACTGAGGTACTAGGCAGCGTCTGGGAATCAGAAGAAGTCCCATCGGGTTGGTGTAAGTCACTGATTATCCCCATATACAAGAAGGGAGACAAGTCTTCCTGTGATAATCACAGAGGGATTAGCTTGACTAATATAGTATCTAAAGTCTTAGGCTCAGTAATCATGCGTAGACTGAGTGGTGCTCGGGAGTCACAAACAAGAGAGAGCCAGGCAGGCTTTAGACCAGGAAGAGGGTGTATTGATCATATCTTCACCCTCCGACAGATTCTAGAACATAGGCATTCCTTCCGGCGTCCAACGGTCATTATATTTCTTGACCTAAAGGCAGCATTCGACTCTGTCGATCGGGAAGTTCTCTGGAGATGCTTGGCTGTAAAGGGAATTCCAAGAAAATATATTGCACTGATTAAGGCACTCTACTCGTACTCATACAGCCAGGTGAGGGCTTACGGCGAGCTGTCATCTGAACTGATGACGACCAGTGGTGTCCGTCAAGGATGCCCATTATCTCCTTTTCTATTCAACTTCATCATAGATGTGTTAATGGACTTAACCCTAGGTGACTTCAGCGATTCAGGGATTGACTTGCTACCTGGGAATAATCTCGTTGACTTGGAATATGCAGACGATATAGTCCTTCTAGGCGAAGACGCTGACAAAATGCAGAGTCTTCTAAACACCTTGAACAGCAATCTACGAATGTTTGGCATGCGATTCGCTCCCGCCAAATGCAAGATGATGTTACAGGACTGGACTACATCGACGCCTAGTTTAAAAATAGGAAGTGAAGTGGTAGAGCACGTTGACCGCTTCACTTATTTGGGAAGTACCATCAGCCCCAACGGGCTGATCTCTGACGAAATCTCAGCACGAATACAAGGGGCTCGTTTCGCATTTGTTAGTTTACGCCGACTCTGGCGTAGACGAGATGTTCGACTATCGACCAAAGGGCGGGTGTACTGCTCATCAGTCCGCTCCGTCCTCCTTTATGGTTGTGAGACCTGGCCACTGAGAGTGGAAGACATGAAAAGACTAGCTACCTTTGATCATAGGTGCCTGCGTTCTATTTCCCGTGTAAAGTGGCATAATAAGGTGAGCAACATGGAGGTTAGGCGTAGAGTTCTAGGTAAGGAGGGGAAATCAATCGACGAAGTCGTGAAGCTACATCGACTGAGATGGTTAGGACATGTGTTACGTATGCCAAGTCATCGCCTCCCTCGACGAGCTATGTTAGCGGATATAGGGTCAGGCTGGAAAAAAGCTAGCGGCGGTCAAACAAAAACTTGGCACCAGTCAATGAAATCCATAACAGTTGGTCTAAGCCACGTAGGAAGGTGTAGACTTCCAGGCTGGGGTCCACGGGACGGCAAAAATCTATGGTTGGAAACAATTGGTGACATGGCTCAAAATCGTTCTCAGTGGCGCAGATGCATCCACTCCCTGTGACTTATGATCTTCAATGAAACTGTTTTGTATTTATTTATTACTCCTTTGTCTCACACCTCTGCTCACTGTTTCTATTATGCTTTTCTTGTACTTTCTTCTCTTGCTTCGCGTGCTACACGGAATGTGGCGACTTGAACTTCCGCACATTTGTGCAAAGTTCTATGTCGAAAACAGACAGACTGATTAAAGTAGTTACCTATTCTGTTCTGTGGTTCCTTGACTATTTTTCTTCTCTTTAATTGATGTTATTGTTCTGTTATCTCGCGTAGCGTATTTCTGAGTTCTTATATTCTGCCAAGTTTGTTTCATATAAATAAATAATGAAGCAGTCACTAAGAATTACCTGAAGGTAGGATAAACGATTTATCTTTGTACCTACTGACTGACTAGTGATTAGACAGAGATGACCAATGTTTAATTCGTCAAATGTTTGAAATATTGTTTTGAGAAGTATGACTCGGTGGGTTTTTTAAATCAATAGTCTGAATGAATGTGTATGACAATTTTGAGTTCAGTCTGTTCTATAGAAATTTGCTGTCTAGGCATACTTCATTAGGTTTATTCACTAACTGATCAGGATAGAAATTACCATCATGGAATAAATAGTGTTATTAGAAATGTATCCCAGGCGTTTGACTTTAAGTATATTCCAGTATTTCTTGAAATATTTTGTGATATCTCTTCAGTTTTATTAAGTAATGCAACAATTAGAAATCTAAGCCTAAAAGGAAAAAAATCAACTCCAATGAAGGGGAGTTTCTTGTTACTTTATTGATGATTACTGATAAAGCGGGGGTAATACAGACGAAGAAAAAATAAATATCGATAAAGAAAGGAAGACGAAATTTTCCCGATTAAAATGATATCATTCTATTTCACAGGTTCTCATCAGCTGCCACTGACTACCTGAAATTACAATGGTTATATAGATGATAATAACATACTTTAATGTTTAAGTGGTAGTAGAGAAGAAATACTATAAAACTGACGCATCCAGAATGTAAGCGCTACAATTTTTAGTTTAAATTTTCATCATCAATTTATACGCTTTCAAAGTAGAAAAGAGGAGGTAGGGGTTAGACAGAAAACAGAAAAAATTAACCAAACTGTGTTAGCGTGTAGGTTCACATTGCAATTCAAAAAACAAAAGCGATTACAGTTTATAAGATTAAGATTTGTTCAGTGAGTTCAGATCACTGAAATAGATGACTAATCAATGTAATCAAAATCAAAGTTCACTTATCAAGGGAGTGAGGGATTAATCACACTCTCTTTCTGTATGCTTAAGTCTGGTTTATATCGTTTGATTGTGATCGCTTCGGCTAATTGTAGTAAATTTGCTGTCCTTTGTCTATTCAACATTTTAAAGGACTTAGAAATCTCTACGAGATGTCCGGTATCAACAATGTGTCTGGTAATCGCACTCTGAGAATATTTGCTTCCTTTCAGGCACAGATTTCTTGGAATACGTTCAGAAAACCGGATAGAAGCCCTTCTTTGCGTGGTTCCAATGTACTTGCTCCGGCAAGTGCACGTAAATTCATAAATGCAGTTGAAGGTGACATCAGCAGGGTATTTATCCAGTTTTGAGTGGCTTATGGGATAAATGGTGCCTTACAATGTTATGAGTTTAACTGCCGGGAAGCTTATTTTTATTGCACCTTTTAGTCTTTTGTCATTCTTTTATGACACTGAATCTCTTTTGAATGGAATACAAATAAACACTTTCTTTTCTACAGTTGGGTGTTTTTCTTTCTTATTTTTTCTCTGCTATACTTTTGTATAAATCCCTAAGTGTATCCATTTTCTCTTAGGCATTTCTCGACCAAACCTAATTCTTCTTCTATCTTGTTTGGTGAATATAGTTTCCTGGCTCTGTCGTACAAAGTCCTCACTAATCCACGTTTACAACTCATGGGATAAAAGCTGTTATAGTAAAGATATTGCCCAGTCCAGGTTTCTTTTCTATAGATGGACTTTTCGATCGTACCCTCGTTTGTTCCTTCTACATTTAGATCCAGGAAATTGAACTCATTGTTATGTTCATATTCCATGGTGAATTTGATGTTTGGATGAGTCACATTAAAGCGATAATACAATGCCAATGCGTGATCCATGTCGTTGCAAACAACAAATGCATCATCAACATGTCGGTGATAGTAGGTTGTTCCATTGATATCAGAGCTCACTTGTGTCTGTTCGAGGTAGCCCATGAAGATATCAGGCAGAATAGTTCCCAGAGGTGAACCCATCGCTACCCCATCAATTTGTGGGTAAAGTTGGTGGTTAAATTTGAATTGTATATCTTTTGTGTAAAGCAGCAGTAGTCGTTTCATCTCTGTTTCTGGTAGTGGTAGTAGATCGGTTTGTTTACAAATGATATCAGTTGTTTCTATCATTGGTACGTTTGTAAACAAGGACGTCACGTCTTATGACACCATGATTTTATCTGAAATATCAATACTGT